TTCAACTCATCTGGTAACTTAACCAAACACATGATAACTCTGGATATAACTGTGTATTTAACTGTTACTTGATTTAAAAAGACGTTATCATGCACTGCTTTTTATGGTCTCCATTGTGTTAATAGATGCCAGTGGAGGTTGGGAACGACCGCCTAGAATGTTTCCATCCCCTTTGAATCATTGACCCCGCGTCTCGTTGTACATACCTATTATTCGGAGGAGCATAATATATAATTACGAAACATTTCCTTTCAATTTTTGATATTGGAACGTTGTATTGCCACTTCAGAGCCCCAAACAGTATGTTATAGACTTTCCCAGGGGCCACGATCAGTCATGTACAAATGCTGTAAGCATGCGTGACCACATGTTTTCCAGACGCCCCCTAAACGAGGATTTTTTTCTGAAGCCAAAAGTTTTTTTCTTCCAAATTCACACCCTAAACAGGTTATTTTACAAAAGTATACACTCCTTAACAAGTATTGTAAAATTGTTACCACTTTAGCATTTTGAAGTGCGATTGGGATTACCATTTAAAGCTTATCTGCCGTAGTTTACAGGAGGGATTAGACTGCCCTGCAAGGTCACTGGACAGGTGGTTATCTCATCAACTCAGCTCTCAGTTAACATAAGAAAAAGAGGATTACGGGGGACCAATGGTCACCGATTAGGCATTGTTTGTTATATAGAGGGCGCTAGTAGCTACAAGTAGTGCAGTGGGCCTTTAAGTTGTTGACAATGTGAAATAAATCAAATTGCGCTTCTGATGTAAAATGTATAATGTAAACATTAATTTTATTTCAATAGAGAAGCAATAACATCAACCTGTGTACACTTCCAAATGGTGATGACGTCGTGGTAAATCGCGGTCGTAAACAAGCAATTCACATGCTGGTACGCGAAATATATGGTCTTCTGTATGTGTTTTTACATTAGCAAGCTGACGTTACCGAAACTAGAGTTACTAGCTTTCAATTCGGAGGCGGGATCTAGAAATTGCAGGATTTTGAAAAAATACCCTTTTTCATGAAAATGGACGTTTTTTAACCCCTTAACGCAGTAACGCCCGGACCGCGTCTAATCTTAAAAAACACCCCTATATACGCGGGTTCATTACTAATCTGTTTGTAGGCCTATGACCTGCCTTTCGTTCAGACAGAAAATTGTTTCTCGATAAATATTTATTGAAAGACCGAATACACTGAAAATGGAACAGTTTCTTAACTCCATTAAAGCACAAACACGTTTAAACTTAGTAAAATTATGTCAAAAAATAATGCTCCGTTTTCATTAATTTAAGAATGTGCACATAAAAATGTTATGAGTTCAAAATTATCTTTGTGTTCTCTTGTTTGTCTTATATCAAATTATTAATTTGATATCAAGAATATTTCAGTAATTCATCAATTCAAATAACAATTCACTGGTGCCAGTAACTTTCTTTTTTTAATTGCTTCTATTAATGTTTGTTATGTGGGCGACGTTAGAATAAATTGTCATTGTCATTGTGATTGTGATTGGTCATGCATTCTTACAGTATTTTTATTTGACTGAGACCCCTGGGTAGCCTCTATTCATCATTTTTCTGCTCTAAGCATTTCAGAACGGAACACACCTTCCCATTTTGAACTATAGAAAGGCAATAAAAGACGGAAATCGAAAAGGAGTGTTAGAATAGTATTCTAACACCCCTTTTCGATATAGTCTCACCTATAGCTGTCAAAGAAAAACGGATCATTATACATACATTGCATAATTATGTGCTCAGGTATGTTTTTATCCCTCCCAACTTGAGAACATCCCAGCTTGAGAACATTAAAAAAAAAAGGAAAAAAAAAATGCGTTTTAAGATGGACGTAATATATTCTTGATTTTGAAAGGTGGGATTTGACACTGTCTAGACATAATTATAAAGAGGTCACGTGGGTGATTTAGAAGAACGTACGTATCTTTTAAATGTGGAACTTCGTGAAACAAAATATAACAAAATTCAGTTCTTTGTGATGAATAATAATTTGAGAGAAAATGCGAATCATTGATGAAAATGGTATTATACTATTGAAATTGAAAGAAAAAAGCGCTAAAGGAGACGTTTCAATGTCGGGTAGTTCGTTAAATTGCCCGAGGAGTGAGGGAGAGGGATAATATATATATATATATGTTTCAATGTCGGGTAGTTCGTTAAATTGCCCGAGGAGTGAGGGAGAGGGATAATATATATATGTTTCAATGTCGGGTAGTTCGTTAAATTGCCCGAGGAGTGAGGGAGATAAAGATAGATATATATGTTTCAATGTCGGGTAGTTCGTTAAATTGCCCGAGGAGTGAGGGAGAGGGATAATATATATATGTTTCAACGTCGGGTAGTTCGTTAAATTGCCCGAGGAGTGAGGGAGAGGGATAATATATATATGTTTTAATGTCGGGTAGTTCGTTAAATTACCCGAGGAGTGAGGGAGAGGGATAATATATATATATATATGTTTCAATGTCGGGTAGTTCGTTAAATTCCCCGAGGAGTGAGGGAGAGGGATAATATATATATATATGTTTTAATGTCGGGTAGTTCGTTAAATTCCCCGAGGAGTGAGGGAGAGGGATAATATATATATATATATGTTTTAATGTCGGGTAGTTCGTTAAATTCCCCGAGGAGTGAGGGAGAGGGATAATATATATATGTTTCAATGTCGGGTAGTTCGTTAAATTGCCCGAGGAGTGAGGGAGAGGGATAATATATATATACACTGTTGCTCATAACGGTGGAATATTTTTTTTTATCCCAATTTATGGAATTATTTTAAAAATAATTTAAAAATACTAGATCTAGATAATAGTATACAGTCTCAGATTTTATTGAATAATAATTTGCCAATATGTGTTTTGCGTGACTGCTAAAGCATGTCTGTTATGCTACTATGTTTATCAACTAGGGGACCTATGCCCTTAAGTCATAAATGACAGTAATGAGGATTAATGCGTCACAAAAGGGCACTAATATAGCACATCGACACGGTGTTGATCCTGGGGCCTCACAGTTATGAGGCCATTGCTTTGTCACTGAACCATGACTGTACGTAGCAGGGGCTAGGGTAGGGGGCAGTTTCCATAAATTAAAAAAAAAACAGAAAATGCAATAAATTTTCAATAATTTATTACATTCTACCCCGGTCCCCAACATAAAAAAATCTTCTGTGTGCCCATGCATTGAGCCATAATGCATGGCCGTCCAGAGGATTTTTTAATGTTGGGGACCGGGGTAAAATGCAATAAATTATTGAATATTTATTGCATTTCTGTTTTTTTTTTTAATTTATGGAAACTGCCCCCTACCCTAGCCCCCGCTACGTACAGTCATGGTTCAGTGACAAAGCAATGGCCTCGTAACTGTGAGGCCCCAGGAGCAACACCGTGTCGATGTGCTATATTAGTGCCCTTTTGTGAGGCATTAATCCTCATTACTGTCATTTATGACTTAAGGGCATAGGTCCCCTAGTTGATAAACATAGTAGCATAATATACATGCTTTAGCAGTCACGCAAAACACATATTGGCAAATTATTATTCAATAAAATCTGAGACTGTATACTATTATCTAGATCTAGTATTTTTAAATTATTTTTAAAATAATTCCATAAATTGGGATAAAAAAAAATATTCCACCGTTATGAGCAACAGTGTATATATGTTTTAATGTCGGGTAGTTCGTTAAATTCCCCGAGGAGTGAGGGAGAGGGATAATATATATATATATATGTTTCAATGTCGGGTAGTTCGTTAAATTGCCCGAGGAGTGAGGGAGAGGGATAATATATATATATATATATGTTTCAATGTCGGGTAGTTCGTTAAATTGCCCGAGGAGTGAGGGAGAGGGATAATATATATATATATATATGTTTCAATGTCGGGTAGTTCGTTAAATTGCCCGAGGAGTGAGGGAGAGGGATAATATATAAATGTTTCAATGTCGGGTAGTTCGTTAAATTGCCCGAGGAGTGAGGGAGAGGGATAATATATATATATGTTTCAATGTCGGGTAGTTCGTTAAATTCCCCGAGGAGTGAGGGAGATAAAGATAGAGATATAGAAAGAGAGAGAGAGAGAGAGAGAGAGAGAGAGAGAAGGAGAGAGAGAAAGAGAGAGAGAAAGAGAGATCTTGGCTTATGTGTACGTATCTGTCTGTCTGTCTCTTTCCATGAGGGCCCTGTAACATAGCTTTCTAATTCTTTTGGACACTACTCTGTTATTTACATGATAGGCGCCCTCTAAATTTCCTCTCTTCCTCTATGGATTGTTCATTATTTTGTAATGTCATTTATATTCTCTTTGACAATGAATGGATAAGAGATAATAGGCCACTTTCGTAATGTAACCGAATGTAATGCATAAGTCTTTGTGAAGTGCCTCAATACAAATTATTTCATTCACCTGATAAGAATAATAGTATTTCAATAGACAGAATCCGAACTGCATACATTAGTTGTTGCCAGGTTGGACCAAAATTATGGTTTGACCTTAGCAACACCTTATTTATGCAGTTTGCATTCCGACTATTGAAATACTATTATTCTTATCAGGTGAATGAAATAATTTGTATTGAGGCACTTCACAAAGACTTATGCATTAAATTGGGTTACATTACGAAAATGGCCTATTGAATGCAAATAAAGAAATAACTTAGAAAACTAGGTGAATTCACTTTAAATCTTGTTATCTTCCTGTCACCTTCTCTTTTCCCTACCTACCTCACTGTCTGTCATTTTATCTCTCTTTGCTTAATCCTTTTGGGTCTCCCCCGCCCTCTGTCACTCATCTCTTGTCTATATATATGTCTCTCTTTTTTCCTCTCTCTCTCTGTCTCTCTCTCTTCCCCCTCTCTCTCTCTCTCTGGAGCTTGCATTTAAATCATGAAAGCGAGTTGTACTTTATGGAGAAAAAAAGTCATTAACTTCACGTGAAACTACTTATTCAAATAAAGGCAACAGTAATTTGAGTAATTAACTGGTTATCAAAATGTTTCAAATACGTTTAATTATTTAATGTCAGCATCAATTGGGTAATATACAAATATATGTCGTTAATATTACCAAGTAAACAATATGAATGTCTCTAATAATGCTAAAACACAACTCTTAAGAGATGCCAGGATAAATGTGCGCCTATATGTTATATAATATGCATACACTATTTACACTTTTGATGGAAGGAAGGTAATGTTTACAAAAATACAAGCAAATGCAAACTGATGGTTGAAACAGTATTTTGTTGATGATATAGATTCTAAATCACACAACAATCAGTCATTTTCATGTGTAAATGACTTAGAATTAGATTAAATGACGGATTTCAGACATCAACATAGGCTGATGGAAGTTATTTGCTTTATATTAAAACTGGATAGAATGATGATTTTCGGTTCCTGTTGCATAGGATTTGCATTTTTAATGAGATATACACAAAGCCCACAATAGTATATCCAAGGTTCCTCAAATATCTAAGTGTCTAAAAATAGATCTTGATTTTCTGAAAATCAAGAGATAACTATACTTACAGGCATCCGGAACACAATAGTCAACAAGAAAATATACGATTAAGGATATAGAATTATACATTACTCTAACTATATGCCTGTTCCTTGTAAGAAGACGCCAAGACGCTCTCCTGTTTTTTGGTTTGTGCTCACCCATATACCACCCTCTGACTGATTATTAGTTAACCATTACCAAACACGTTTGTATGCAATCTCTATTACATCTCGAAAAAGAAAAGAAAAAAAGATTGAATGTATGTACACCAAATTAGTTGATTATAGCAGAGAAAACAGCAAAGATTTAATATTTAGCTGTATCCAACATCGCATCAAAATGATCATATATTTTTTTTCATTGGAAAATTTGCGGCTCAATCTTTTATTCTATGTTTTTAACAATTGAGATTTTGTTCTTTTCTGTTTGGCATACGTGAAGAAAAGAAGATATGTATCTTATTTAATAATGATGAAATATCTGCGAAAATGGATTGGTGGGGCAAGATCGCCGTTCGTTCGATATCATTGACGTCATAATTGTTGGTATGACGTCATCTATTTTGATTCTGTCGGTATAGCATTGAGATTCATCTCGTCCGATGTGGTATAGTCGTCCTCATCGCCGTACTCGCACGTAGGGCATCGTCGAAGACGACCCATACTGACGTTAGGATCGAGGACGTAGTCATAGGTAACTGCTCCGAGGAGTCCACCGAGTAATGGTCCTGCCCAGTAGACCTAATAGATAGACAAAGAAAAGATACTCAATTAATGTCCTGTAGAAAGTACCCCGGCCTCACACGGGAGGTGCGAGGGATCTTCAGGTAAAGGTCTAAATGAACCACACCTTTTTTTTTTTACCATCCATTAATAACAAATAACTAAACTACGCGTTTTTATAAGAAATGGAATAAAATTCTTCCGGTTTAAATGTTAAGATAAGAAAGCGTATATTCTCGGGGTCTATAGCATTCAAGAAAAATCAACCAACAACATGTAGGCTATACAAGGCTATCTTAGTTTCTTTCAACTGCGCTTTGTCACAGCTTTTTTGTGCAAAAAGTCAATTTACCAAGCAATTACTCCTTGGTCGATATATTTATTTTGCAATATTCTCAGCGACTGAAAAGCTGATCACGGAATTAGCCAAAAAGTATGAGAAGCGATGTAATATTTCCACGCCCTTTTCGATAATAGATAAGTTAATCACAATTGCTACAAACACATATGAAAAGTATTCTTGCATAATGTGGAATATGAAAACAAACATAAATGATAGATGATCATTCCTTGTAAATCATCTATTTTCGTATTCTCATCGTAGATTGAACTAATTTTGACTTTGAAAAAAAGTCTAATAATTATGAGCGATATTTACAGACTTCGTTAAATTTACCTTCCAAACCTTTTTGCGCGGCCCCCCCCTCCAATTTTAAATTATTTCATACATGTTTTTGTAGTTTGTTGGTCTTTATATTGTGTTTATCGCTGTATTTTGTGATATCTTTAACTAATATATGCTCAGTAATGTAAATAATATAAATTATAATAATATGCGGGGGAACATTTTTAAACAAGGCCACCATGAGCTTTTCCTTTGTTCTCCTATTTCATTTGTAGCTATTGTATAACCTGAACATTCTTTGTATGTATATACACTTGTTTATTTGCATTTGCTGTGTTTTTTATGAAAATGAAACGAATAAACGAACTTGAACTTGACCTTCTTCACAGCTTTGTTCTTGCATTCGAAACTGATTCATGCTTCATCGTTATAATCATTTCTTTTTCTTATCATGACGCCCGCTTTTACCGGTCAGTGCGTGGCACAGGCTTGCACCGAACAAATTTGCACCAAAGATGTTTTTCCTTTCAGAAAATGGCTCAAGAGTCTATGTAAATATATAGCAAGGTTCACCTTGATTTGGGGTGTGACCAAATATAGGAGTGACCAAATATAGGAGTGAACAGGTAGATTCAATCTTGAATTTGGTCCAACCAGCCCCAAACATTCTAAGATATTAGATACGTTTGATCTCTCCCAGAGCCTCGCTCCATTTCAGTCTATTACGGTCCATTCCCAAATCCACACTGATTACATTGTGATGTGCAGCATAACTATCTGACATGAGAATCGTACATATCATTCTTTTGGATTTACAGAAAAAAATTAACATTATGATAGCATATACCTTGCTACACAATTTTTTTAGCCATTTTCTGAAAGAAAATAATATCTGTTGTGCAAATTTGTTCGGTGCAAGCCTGTGTCACGCACTGACTATTATGACGTATAATGTCTAGTCTATAATGAATTGAAAAGTGTGTGTGTGTGTATGTATTGGGTGACAGTTGGTCTCTTTCTTTGTTTGCTTGTTTATATATTTCAATGCGGTAATTACAAAACATGCTTTCAGCTGGGCATAGCTATTTTCAGCATGTCCATACATGGTACACTAAAATACATGTGAATAAACAGATAAAATATACAAAATTAATCAATAACAATACATGATATTAAAATAAGTAAATGTAGAGAAGAAGAACAAAAAGAAGCAAGTATATAACTAGAAAGGGTGGGGTATATTGTCTACATTGTGCATGTCTGAATTGATGAGAAAGTAAGATGATGAGTAAAGCTTACCCAGTGAGCATTCCATACTCCGCCTACGACAGCCGATCCAAGACTCCTAGCAGGGTTCATACTAGCTCCAGAATACTGAATCTGCAAGGAAATAAAACACAACAAATATTGAGTATTGCACCTAACCATTTTCAGGCTACGTTTAAACATTTTATTAATTTACGGCGTCTTTTATTCCTGTTAGTCTCCCTTGATCATAAATTCGTTAAGCAAGTCTGTAAACAAAATGGCAAGATTGTCAGTGGTAATTGACTCAATACCCCCCCCCCCCCCTCGAATCGACTCCTTGATTTCGTCAATTTGATGATAGTCTATCATCGTAATTGTCATCATCATCAGTAACATTACATCAACATCATCATCGTCATTATCATCTTTATCGATACCAACATCACCACCACCATCATTATCAGGGAAGGAAAGGAAAGATGTAAAAGAAAATATGGGACTACAAAAAAATCCGAAAGACGGAAATTCTACTTCGCACGTACAATTTGAATTTCAACCAGATTTACTTTCCTCCCTCCAAAAACCGGTAGATTCCGATATGCAACGTTTGCAAAGAAAATCAAATGCTTGTAAGTCAGTCACGTATCATGTAGTATAAACTACATGTGCAATTCAGCTTATATCTGCAAACAAGTTGTCTAATAAATCCATTCGTGTATCGAATTGTATGAAATGAATATTGAAATTCGTGGGAACTAAAAAAAAGTTGTCTAATAAATCCATTCGTGTATTGAATTGTATGAAATGAATATTGAAATTCGTGGGAACTAAGGTAACCACGTGTGAATATGAATGACATATTGAACAAGCCGTTAAGTTGAAATGAAGACTAAATTCATTTTGAAGATCTATGTATTGTTAGATGTAACGCCATTGTTGTCATGTTGTTATTATGTTTATAATTGTATACATTGTTTGTTATATATGCAGTGAGCAACAAAAATCAAATTTTTAGTGGACAATAAATCAATTCAATTCAATTCAAGTTTTCACGTGCGTTTCGTCTGAGAAACAGAAAGACACCATACTCGGAGAGTGAACACCTAGCTTCTAGTTCCCAACGGGACGATGACCGGCATTTATTGATGAGTATCACTCAACGTGTGACGCAGCGCAAAGTCCGAAATCATCCAGGCATCATTATATCCATTTACTGTTATTGATAAGGCTTGTTTATTCAACAAAAGAAGAAGAAGAAAAAAAAAACAGCTTTGATTTCACATGTCAACTGATTTATCGATTTCTTTCTTTATTGTTCATACTCTTTAATGAGGCTGTACAATTTGTATTTGGTTTATGAGATGGGGGGGGGGGGGGGGAAGAATAGAAGCAGCAGCATTCAAGCGCATGGACTAAACTAATTATTTTACCTGCTATTATGTTGCTAGTGTTAGAGAGCTAAGGTTTGTGTCAATGGAATTGGAGCACTCAATAATATTGTAAAACGCTTTGTGGCTGAAAACACTATAACAATACCTTGTGAATTAATTGGATCAAATCGGATTTAGAGTTGAATCCTATTCCAATTGGGAGCCAATAAACAGAATAATCCTAAACATCAATAAGCACAAGGATATACAGTACACACTCATGTGACCCATGTACAATGCATTGAGTATGATAAAAAGCTTAGTAACCATCATCAACTCGAGCAATCTTGAGACGTTTGATTTATAGCTGTACATACACCTCGTGACATGTACGCTTTAAACGAATATTTTGAAACCTCAGCTTTTGACGTGTTGATAAACTGATTCTACCATATTCACGTGTTCAAATATCACATGACAGTTTAAATTACCCTGCATCAACAACATACTTGTCCCCTATCTTGCTTTATGTTGGGTATTATCATTATTTGGACGGTCATCGGTAGGTGATATTGGCCCCGTGCTATAATTGCCCAAACAAATATTGACGAAGTGGGTCTAATGCATACTTTTGTTCCCAAATGCCCAGGATAATATTGACAAAGATTGGTCGAACCAAGATATTTCACACTTGACCTTTATTAAGATAAAAGTGATATCAAATATTGCACGAGATTGCATGCAGAACTCAATGCTTTCATTCTCCCCACTCTGTTCTTTACCTTTGTTATCCTGTTAATATATAGCCATAATAGCCATGATAATGACGAGGGGCTCTTCATAGCATTAGCTCCTACACACTTTACAATTCGTTATCAAATTATCTATCAAATCGGTGGACCCCTTTAAAAATAACCATGGTTAATAGGGCGTATCCAATGCTATGTTAGAAATAAAAAAATAAATGGAAAAATAAGAAGTAAAAGGAAATAATCGTTCCTAGAAATGAACCTTTCTTTACCGCTGTGATCATAATACCGGTATTTTATAACGAATCTATTATTATGATGCATATAAATCAATGATAATTATTATGAATTAGGTCTACATTAACCAGAATTCTTTAAAACGATTACACGACATTTATACGTCATGCAGGTATATTCTGTTTCTGTGTCATTTTGTTTCATCTAATCTATTCGGGTTTATATTCATCTCATTTTTAGTTGGTATTTTTCAAAATTCATAAGAGTCTATATACTTCCTGATCATGGAAGTATTGAATCACAAATCATTATGAACCATAGTATATATATCTCTATTCCCTTCTTTCTCTCTTAGTCCTTAAAGTTTCAGATAATCGCCAGAGTTTAAACTTAATATTCAAAGGTTCTTGGATTAAATTTCCGAAAAGGTGTCTTAAAATTTCCATTTAGAAACTATACATGAGGGGGGGGGGGGCTTAATCTTTTCTCCCTTTACCCCTATCTCTAGCAACATTATACCCTAACTAGTATTATAACCTGCTACACATTCCACCCTCTTATGAATATGATATGAAATGATTATGGTAGACTCCTGTGTGATACCTCAGGCTTATTTTGCAGACAACAAGACCCTGTCTTATAAAGAGTTGCGGTTGATCAGAATCAATCGCAAGTCCTTTAAAGGGACTATGTCCCATTTGCAGGCCAAAAAAATGAAAAAGTTAAATTCCAACTGTATTTGAAAGATAATACTTATTTAGAACTTCCCTAAAAAAGGTGGGGCTTGAAAATGTCTTCAAGTGGGAAAATAACGACTATTAGTTGTCAAATCGACTTTAGGGCTATAGAGCCCAAAAGTAATAGTCTTGATTTTCAGACTATTGTATTGAATGGTCATACGTTTTATGCTGCGCAAAGATTCAATCAGTTTAATCTTTGCCATCACAAGAAGTGGGTTATTGATGTAGACAAATACTCATGTACCCTTTACAACTCTTTTCATGTATGTTTTTACCAAAGAAGAAAGAAAGCCAGTCAGTCACTCAATAGTGTCTGACAGTGAAGTCTAGCAAGTGAACAGTTTTCCTTGCATAATTTGAATATGAGGACACTGCTAACGTTTAAATTTCACAGATAGGACATACATGACATATTCATAATTCCTGCAAAGTTCTACAGCATTTGAGGTTGGCTGCAAAAGGGACATAGTACCTTTAATCAATCGCAAGTTTGCAGTATCCTATCTCTTGTGTACATAGTTGCGATTGATATCAATCACAAATATTATGTTGCGATTGATCGCAACTGTTTATAATAAGACGGGCCCCTGGTCTTGAATCATGACAAAGATATCAGCTGCAGTGTCACATGCTTGCTTCACCCTTGCTAAGATTTATCGTCAATCATTCACATACCACATCATTAATGTTCTACTGGTTTTTTGATTTTCTTGTAAATGTTTTTAAAACAATGTCCAAATGACAATCTGAGAACATGTGGTTGAATATATATAATAAATAGTTATTATTCTATGTTATGACGTTTTTAAACCACCAAAATCACGACCACTTGAGTAATGAAATGAAATGAAATTTAGCGTAAGGTGATTCTTCGTAAGGTGGCATTCTTCTATACACAAGAAATCAAAGAATTAGAAAGTCCGCCAACATTATTTTTTTTTTCTCTCTCTCTCTTTATATATATATATATTTGTTTTGTTGTTATACTATAACTCAACATTATCATCAAAGACATTTTGGATTGCAATGCGGAAACGGAAACTATGTAAATCGATTTTGGATGAGAGAATTTGGTCAGTGTCAGAAAAGTGCGATATTTTGTATGAATATCCCACAGTCATTAAAATACTGTAATTGTTGCCAAAAAGACAAGAGTTTTTATTTTCCCATTTCGGCAATACTATCCCTTTATTTTTTCCTGAATACACTCTCAAAATAGACAGGAGTCCGCTCTTATTATGGATCACTTTGTTTTGGAGTGAAAATCAACGGCATAAAAACGTGGAATCCATTATAAAACGAAGTGATTTATTACACGACTTCTAAAAGAGTAGACTAGAGTAACTGTTCTTCTCTTCTGAATGCTCCCAGGTATTTACACAGTTAAACTATATTTCCTCGATGTAATATTTATTAAACAAAATCGGCGAATAAAACTACAAAGCAGTATGGAAATTGATTTAGATTTATTACTTTTAAAAGGCCATATTGTAGTGACCTGTATATAATACAGATCTACTAACCGTCATGGGAAATTCAATCCTTCAACTGAGATCACTACGTGGGGTAGCAAGATAAAGATAATATTTCAGAGCAAAAGATAGCAAATATACATTCCCAGGCATCCCCCTTCAAACTTTGTGTATTTTTATTTGTCTTTTTGACATAGCAGATTCCTAAGTTTTGAGCTTTTTGCTTTGCTTTGAAACTTGAATCTTAAATTGTAGATCTCAAGATGGTTAATTTATGAGATGCATATGACACAATTAAAACACGTCTCTCCTCACTATAATAAAATGACAACCAGAATTCCCTAATATTATCATTATTGAATTTTATTATCATTTTTCTGGCTTAGTGCCAATCGAACAAAAAAATATGAAAAGGGAACGACTTGTTAGTTGTTATGGTTACTGAGCCTTAATATGTATAGAGTGTTGTCTCTTTGCGGGATGCGCTATTATAGTACTAACATTTCGTAACAGCTGACAAACAAAAAATTCATCTAAACAAAACTGAACCATTCGAAATATATG